CACAGACACACACACACTCACACACTCACACACACACACAGAGACACTCACACAGACACACAGACACGCACACACACACACACACACACACACACACACACAGACACACACAGACACACAGACACACAGACACACAGACAGACAGACACACAGACACACACAGACACACACAGACACACAGACACACAGACACACACAGACACACACACACACACACTCACACGGACACACAGACACACAGACACACACAGACACACTCACACGGACACACGGACACACAGACACACAGACACACACACACTCACACACACACACAGCTACTCCAGCCCAGGTAACGCTGCTCTTCCTTTCTAGCACTCACTGCTGCTGCTTCTCAGACACCTGTTTCTAACACCCACCAAATTCGATAAGGTCAGTTGTTCCACGATTCCCTGAAATGCCAGTTTAGCAGTTTTTCATAAGGAATGACCTCAAAGCTGTGAGTGATGTCACAGCATTCATGGACTGGCTTTCAGCAGAGCTATGCTGGGACTTTTGGAACATACACTTTAAACACAGGCTAAATTTTCCCTTGCCTGTGCTGAAAGTTATGAAGGCATTTGTCAGAAGTGAGAAGTGCTTCATCCTCCTCCCTTTGATGGATGCTGCTTTTCTCTTCCACCAGAACTGTAGTTGCTCCTTGGTGTGGTCCTGACACACATTTTACATTTAGGTCACCATGTATTTGGCCCAGATTTTAAAGTTTCACTCTCTCAGGCTGCATTTTGATGGATTTGGCCCATGGCTTGTATTTAGCTGGGGAGCATTACGTGATGCTTTTACTACTGAAGACGTTTCATCAAAGGAAATTGTGTTACACTGAAATGATTGGAATGTCCCGTGTAGAGAAATAAAAGCAGGTGTTGAATTGCTTTCATTATTATTTGAAAAGTGCAGATGCATTTCTAAAGCTGTTGTGATTAAAATTCTAAGGTTTTTGTTCTTTTCAAAGGGCAATTCTGATGATAATGTTTCAAAAAGACTTGGAGCTTAGAGCTGTCTGTACTGGCTAATCACACGGAATCCAGGCCTGATGCTCACAGAGGTTGTGAGCAGCCCCAGGTGTGGGTAACTCCTGTCCCCGTTCACTGAGCACCTGCACACCCCACTCGCTGTGCTGTCCTGGCCCCAGAGCAGTGGCTGACCCCCAGCCCCAGCCTTGGGCTGCTGGCACCAGGACATCACAAACGCTTCTGTGCTGCTTTGAGCACCGTCAGTCCCAACTGCGGAGAGGAAATTGATTCTTAAGCCCCGCCAATATGGCACCCCTGTCTTTATGGAAGTGGATTTTAATTAGATTGCAGCATATGAACTAGCAGGGACAACTGAGATGTTTGCAAAAGCTGATGCAATTCTCCCTGCTCTGAGCAGGGACAGCACTGTCACTCCCAGAGGCAGCTGCAGTTCCCTCTGGCTGGTCACGCAGATGTTAAATCCTGTCTGCACCAACTGCACCAGGCTCTTAAAAAAGTAATGAAGACATTTAAGTGAACATGATCTCACATCCCACCTTCAAATCCTCTGTGCAGGGGTCATGGAGCACTTGACCTGCACTGCTTCAGCTGCTCTGTAGAGCCACAAGGGCAGGTCACAGGACTTGGGCTTTTTTCTGAGGCACAACCAGCACACCCTGTAGCAGCACCACATTTTGCTGGCTTGAAAATAAGGATCTTGAAGTAAGAGACAGACTCTGTTCAGGAGTGCAGGAGTTGCTTCAGAACTAATGAATTAAGACAAAAATCAAGGGTTTGATTAATTGTTCAGCTCTCGGATTTAATTTGAAAAGTCTGTAGGTACACAAATAATGATTTTCTGTCTTAGCCTTGAAAATTATTCTTTTTGGCTATTTTGTTTTAAATTATGGCCATGTTTTCAGAAGAATTTCACTGAATTATCTGGAGCCTCAGCTGGTCAGAGCATGGTGCTAATACACCAAGGCTGTGGACTCAATCCCCGTGTGGCACATTTACTGAAGAGCTGGACCCCGTGATCCTTGACCATTCCAACTCAGAATATTCTGTGAATCTCTGAACTTAGGTGCAGTCAGTAAATTCTACCCCTGCATGGTGACTCCATCACACAGAGATTTCACTCTAAAGCTTTTGGTCAACGTTCGAGTGGAAGGTTTTCTTTTCTGCTGTGCTCATCACTCCGGGTAGAGTATTTGTGGTCAGGAGCGGTGGGAGCTGGCGCAGGGCTGTGCCGGCCCGGTGCCGCGGGTTTGGGCTGCCGCCGGGATCCCGGCTCTGCTCCCGGTGCCGGTGCAGAGCAGCGGGGACGGACACGAGGTGGCGGTGCCGGCGCGCCCGCGGCTCCCCCCGTTACAGACCCACAAGTAAAGCGGGTCCTCCGCACCGCCGGAGCCGCCCCCGCTTCCTCCTCCTCCTCCCGGCCCTCCCGGTCCCCTCCCTGCCGGCTCCGGGGAGGTGACGAGCGGCGGCAGCGGGAGCGAATCCGGCTCCTGCCCGGCAGCCGCGGCCGCGCCGT